AACTCTCCTTGACTTGTTTCTTGATTCCCCAAATAATGTGTATTTTCTTTTCTGACTGCCTCAACATATGAAACCTTCTCTTTTATTTTAATATTTGTGCTTGTCTTGCCTCACTCTGTAATATGCATCCACCAAATGCTGCACTATGTTCTCCCCAACAGTTACAACATTTAACTTTGGCATCTTTATCACACTTTCCATATTCCTGTGAACCTCCACACCTTGCACATCTAATTTTCCCTTTGCACTCCTTAGCTACATGACCCATTCTTTGAAAAGCAAAACATATTATTGGGTTGGGAATGTACTCTCTTAATCTTGCAGCTGCGCCAGGGAAGTATGTTTTGATTTTTTTCACCTACAAGAGTTGTCATTTTGAGAATCTGTTCTTCTTGTTTTTTGCTAACAGCAGAAATCTGTATCTTATGGTTGTGCATTATCCTGGGTGACTTGATTTGTCCAATTTTCTTCTCAATTGCTTTAGTTAGTTTTATCGGACGTAAATATCCTCCTTCTTTTTTAAACTCGACTGTAACTTTTCACTCCTCTTCCCCATTTTGCTCTCACTGGGCTCGTATTCTCGGACTTGTGTTTGTTTTTGTCTTTTTACTTTCTTCTCTAACCTCACTCCCATCTGACCAACTTCTATCTCTTTCCTCTCTTTGCCTCTTTTCACACTTTCTTCTTGAAGACCTAGACATCATCCACTCCATTTCCTCTCAACTATTTCAACCTAATGTGGAAGCCATAATGCTACATTCAATGTACAGTTTATGCCATCCACCAAAAAGTTTTCAACTCCTATCAACTTCTTACTCCACTCGCAAACCTTCTGTCTAGACCGCGCCATATCTCCAATGTCGTTTTACTACCCAGGATTTAAGCTCCAAAGTATGTTACATTACAAAATCCTATTAATTGATTTTGTTTTTTGTTAAAAAATTAAAAATAATCTCTATACCTTTGTTCCCTTTGTAATGTTTCATTGATGTTAAACTTTTCCTTAATTCTTTTAAATACTCTACTCATAACTCATTTTTATTTTTGGCATCTCAATACATCTTTACATGTAATATTCCTGTTCAGTTATTCAGTACATGTATTATTCTTCCTCCCCACAGTATACACATTTCCCTGTAGTAGTACTTAACTATCATGTGTAATTAAGTACTACACTCAATTGAATTAAATTCAGTTAATTCATATAGCTCCAATTCACAACACGTCATCTCAAGGCACTTTACAGTTCACCAGATCATACAGTCAAATTAATTAAAAGTTTTCTGTCTTAGGAAAACCAGTGTATTATATTGATTCGTTGACTCAAAGGCAATTCCCCACACTAAGCATGCTTGTAGCGACAGTGAGAGAAAAAACTCCCTTTAAACAGGAAGAAACATCCAGCAGAACCAGGCTCAGTTCAAGGAGACCAAAGAAGAGATACAAAAAGCAGCTGTAAAAGGCGGCCCCATCCGAGAAACACACAGCCAGACAGACGAGCTCCGAGCCTGCTCCTATCTCATAGGATGAAGTCACATCCAGTTAATCACAGTGAGAGAAACATGATTACATTTAAAAACAGGCAGATCTCAAACATCTATAACAAATTATGTAAGCAGCACAGCTGATATTTCTCTCCAGGATGGGGTCACGGCCAAACAGGAAGAGACATTTCAACATCTTTTTCTGAATCCGACATCGTAGCATGGCATAGACAATTCACGTTTGCAGTTTGAAGAATACCTGCTTGCTTCTTATGATTTCCTTTTGCTAACCAATAAGTGTTTGCGCTATATGACTCATCCAATTAACTTGTTTTCACTAGATGTGGATGGAACACGTGACGTTAAATAAATATTTATAAACATTAATCCAGGGGTAACCAATTAAAAATCAGCAGGGTCTGGATAAAGAAAATCATCAACCATTAAAGGTCCAGAGACATTTTTAATGAGCTCTCACTTTAAAAAGAATTTAACACTGAAAATAAATTAAGGTGTTTATGCATCCATGTTATACATTGACTTTTTAAATAAATAAATAAATAAAAAAAAGAAAATGTTTCCATTTTAACATCTAAAGTGTTTTTTTGAAGTAGAGAACTACAATCTTTCAGTTTGGTTTATAGACAATTTCCTGATTCACATATTTTATAAAACACCTGAACTGAGCGTTTGTTATTTTTCTTTCTTTTTTCTGGCTTAATGAGAGCAGTTGGCTTTAGGCTGTCCTGCAAGGCTTTAAACCTGGGTTTGAATGTAGACAAAGCCATTCTTAAGCACATATCAAGGTGTTCATTTTGAGCCTGGATCCAGATTTATTTTTGATTCTGTTCATGGTGGAGAATCCTGCTTCACAGCAGCAGTTTGAGCCAAACATCCTCTAAATGTTCAGGCTCGCTCCTGTCCAGCCAGGTCAAGATCTGCTATTGCAATCACACCAAACAGGAAAAAGAACGGCGAGAAGATGCGGTTTGTCAAATTAAACTATAGTAACAACAGATCAGTTACTACAAATTAGAGCATAATTCTTATATATTTAAAAAAAGTAATGCATTTTATTTCAAAGATTGGATGCAAACTATTGGTACTTCAACAGACCAGGAAGCAGATTTCTCATCTCCATCAGAAACTGAACATATACTGGAAACATATGGATTTCATATTAAATTAACCCTTAATTTCTGCATGTTTTGCTCCTACTAATTTAATGATTATATTGCCCATGCTCTCCTAAAGCTCAGAGGAAGTCAGAGCGCAGCAGTATGGGAGGAAGACTGGCGCCTGGAGGCTTTGCTATGTGCAGGAGGTCTGGAGCACTGCAGGGCGGAGCAGAGGATGGGGGATTGTAATTAATAATGAGTAACGTTTGTTTTAAAAATGTACTGTAAGTAATAGAAAGTACAGATACTTGTGTGAAAATGTAATGAGTAGAAGTCAGAAGTAGGACGAAAAATAAGTAATTGAGTAAAGTATAGATACCTAAAAAGTGTACTTAAGTACAGAAAAAAAGTATTTGTACTTTGTTACTTGACACCTCTGTGAAGGTCCTGGGGAGACTTCTGTTGGTTCCCTGAAGTTTGTTTATTGTCGTGGAGTTGGAGATGCCAGGCATCAACAATCACCTGGATCAAAGACTACCTGACAAACAGACCACAGTTTGTTAGACTAAAGGGTCAGCTGTCTAATCAAGTAGTCCACAGCATGGGAGTACCACAGGGGACGGTACTCTCACCATTCCTTTTTACTCTATAACACGTCTAACTTCCAGGACCAGACAGAGTCCTGTCATCTGCAGAAATACTCAGATGACATTGCAGTTATTTGGTGAAACAAAGATGGACAAGAAGCTGTGTAGAGAGAGCTGGTGAACCTCTTTATGGCATGGTATAGACGCAATCACCTGATCCTGAATCTCAACAAAACAAGGGAGATGATTAACATAAAGGGAGAAGAAGTGGAGGTGGTGGAGGAGTAGAAATACCTTGGTGTTCACCTGGACAACAAACTAGACTGGAGACCGACTGTGAAGCCTTCTGCAAGAAGTACAGAGCAGATTGTACTTCCCAAGGAAGTTTAGGTCTTTTAGTGTTTGGAGCTTAGATACTGCAGTTCTTTTACACAGTAAGTCTGTTGTGGAGGGTGTGATCTCTTCCTCCATCATCTGCTGGGGTAACATTACTAAGAGATAAGGACTCAGAAAAAAGCTCAACAAGCTAATGGCGAAGGCCAGCTGTGTTATAGGGACTCTGAAGATTATTTTATACAGAAGAATCTTTAGGGTTCTGTTTGTGGGGTCTTTTAGTCTCTCCCTCCACCTCCAGGTGGTGCCCTTTCCCCGTTCTGGCTTGGAGGGGGACTTCCGGGTTTTTTCTTCCCCACCTGCGGTTTGTTGGGTCATTACCTGAGGGGTATAAGAGCAGTGGACTGTCACCACCTCGACGCCAGAGTGTTTGCCAGTATTGGGTACTCTAGCCATACCGACATTAGCAGAGTCTAACCTTTGAGCCTTGTCTCTCTGAGTCTAAGCTTTTGCCTTTGTCTCCTTTTGTTTTCCGGTAGGATATCCTCCTGATCCGCTGGATAACCCTGGTCCTTCTCCCTCCCTGGAAGGAAATATTTGAGTCACACTGAGCAAGGGGAAACCTTCACCAGATCCGTTCTAGCCAACCTCTGGAAAACCCTGTGACAGTCTGCTCCGTTGCTCCTCAGGACCCATCACTAGTCGGCCTTGTCCGCCCTCCAATGAGTTCAACCACCACTGGTCAATACCCCCACAAACTGAACCCGAGGTTCAACCAAGAACCCCGTTAAGTGAATCATTACAACCAGTCATCATCACAGTTACCTCCCCTCTAAAGTTTCCGGTTCCAGTTCACCAGACCGCTAGATTTTCCTCCTGCTGAGAATTCCCCTTAGTTTGTCCATCTGAGTTTTATGTTTGTCTCTCTGGTTGCATACATCAATAAACTGGTAAACTTTTACCCTGCCTCTGAGTTGTGTTCTGCAAGTGGGCAAATTTTAGGATCCCATCATGACAAGAATATTTTAAATTGAGCAGGAATTCTTTGATACAAGCTTAGAATCAGCAGCTTGTTGTTTTATAGCCACTTTTCCATGCATCTCCTTTAGAGTTCCAGTCAATCTGCCGTTAAGTTCTTTAATCAATCCTCTCATGTCTTGGTATGTCTTGGATGACTGATTTAATAAAGCTCTGTGAACAGTTTGCACAGTATCTGCTCCTTAAGATAACTTCACTGATTTATAATATATTAAACAAAAGAACAATGCTTTATTTCCTCTTGCTAGACATTATCCAAAGAATTCTTTCTACAAAATAAAAAACCTTGACAAGCTCTAAAATGCATTGACTGCAAACACTAAGCTTAGTTCCTTTATATAACATCAATTATGCAGAAACAAACAGATGGGAGGGACCCGCAGAGGTATTAACACGATATAAGAGGGAGGGGAAAGAAGACAGAAAGCCCATCAATGCAGAGAGGTCAGAAGATGAGTGGAAGCATTTTGTGATTCAAGAGGATTAGTGGATTACTAACAAAGCTGTCTGCAACTCAAAGCCTCCATTATCAACATTGATTGTCTTTCATTGTTTTATATTCCTGTATCTCTACTGCTGCATTTGTCTCATCATCAGTCAGCTAATTGAAGGGACATAAAAAAATTGGTATCATCAAGATGTTTATCAAGATGTTTGGGCTCCGCAGCAGCATTAGAGGTGAGTCAAAATTTGAAAAATAAGCTCAATACTACTTTAATTTTAATTCAGATCAGATCAACTCAAACTGATCATTAAGGGAATTAAAACAGAGTAAAATTCCGTACCCTGAGATGTTTTCATGAAAGCAGTCATCTTTGCAGAGCTCCATTATCTCCTTTTAAATAGTAGAAAAGAAACTTTCTCAGTAAATCTTGGATAATCTGAAATTACAGACTTTCTTGCTACAATTTAGTCAACAATTTAAATGAATGCCTGTTGCCACTTGCTCATCCAGCAATAGTTTCCTAAGCTTTCCGAACAATTGAACTAATCTCCTTGAATAATTTAAATGAATTGCGCTATTTAAATAAACCAATTTTATCTTAGTATTTGGAATTTTTGCTCATTCCTCCAAACAGAACTGATCTAAATGAGCTGGTCAGGTTTGTAGGTCTGGCTCACATACATCCTGCAACTCAGCATATATTTTTTCACAATCAAGAGTATATTCAAGCATTGAAAAATCCATAAAGTTCTGTGTGGACCATAATGTTGCCCACATTAAGGTAATATTTCTCAAAAAACAAGCCCTGGTCACCCTGAGATAAAGATTATGCAGAAGGAACTGAGAAGAAAGATCATAAATAGGAAAAAAAATAGAAACAATAAGAAAACATAAACAGGAAAAAGATGGGGGAATAACTGCATTAATATAACCTCATTGGGTTTCAGAGAAGCAAATCTCAATTTTAAGTTACCAACCAAACTCCTGTGCTGCAGGACATTGTGGGTTGGCTAATTGATCTGGATAGGTTCTTCAACAGGAGCTGATCAAATATTCCCCCTCTCCCCTGATGCAACACCTGATCTTTGGCAGCTCCCAGCTGCAAACAAGCTAAATATTTGGTCTATCACATGGAATACCAAATTAATATAATAATGTTTGTAGTTGTAATGTAAGAAAAAATAGAACAAGTTAAAGAGACGTATATAAGGTACTGCAATCTTTCAAGATGTTTAATGGTATCAATTTAAACCTTGTTGTAAAGTCTCTGTTTTTCCTTTATTTTTTCAGAGCTGTGTCGATACTGACCATAATGTTGGGAGCAGAAAAAAAGGGATGTAACGTATTTGAATCTTTCACTCTTAGCCTTCAATCATTGTCAAATATGAACATTATTTTCTTTTACATTGTCATCCTCATGTTTTTCATCCATTTCCCTGGGCTGCTAATCCCATCTGCTGGAAGCACACATGTGTGTCCACACCAATGCATTTGCTATGAACAGGCTGAACTGGTGGACTGCCGCCTTGCCAATTTTGAACATGTACCCAGGGGCCTCCCTCGTGGCACATGGCTGCTCGAGCTGGGAGGAAACAATCTGAGCACCATAGGAACCCGAGCCTTCGTTGGACTGTGGTCCTTGAGGGTACTGGTGCTGACCAACAATCAGATCAGAGAAATTCAACCCCAGGTAGGCAGAACAGACCGGCTTAGAGCCTGAAGCATTATCCCAATTAGACTGTAGTAAAACCAGTTTTCTATCCTTCCAGATCTTGTATGTAAATACAAGATCTGGGAAGATAGAAAACTATTCAATTACAGTTTAAATATAATCAAACTAAAGTTTTTAGGTAATTTAGTAATCATTATCAAAGTTATTTAGATTTTAGTTGTCTGACGAATAAAAGCGATTTCTCTAATTGCATATTATAATTACCATACCTTAATATACCTAATGATGTCATTACCTAATTAGCGTCAGAATTTTTTTGTTCACTCCATCTGAGCTTTAAATAGGTACACTTCTAACATGCATTAGCAAAAGAAAGCAGTCTAGCTTCCAGGAAAGGAACTGTGCTCCTTCAGTACAATTTCCAGATGCATGAAAGTTCCATGTTCATCTTTTCAGTAAAGAAAGGGGGTCCAAGAAATGAGGTGGGGGGCAGTGTTGAGGTTAGGGTTAGATATGAGTCTTGCATGTAGCAACAGAGGAGACGAAAACTCCCTTTTAACCTGCAGCAGAACCAGGCTCAGTGTGAGTGGCCATCTGCCGAGGCTGACTGGGACTCATGAGATAGAAGGAGACAAACAAAAACAACATCAAAGCACTGATCCATAAATACTCTCCATGTTAGAAAATATAAAGGTAAACTAGTATGGGGTAATTATCCTGCCATAATGCAGGAGCACATAATTTCAATTTGAGAAAATAATTTCATCTTCTTGCACTCAAAACTTATAATGCTGCTCATACTCAAAATATGCGCTCTCTCTCAAATAGTTTCTCTTCTCTCTAAAATCTTTGTTTCTTCTCTCAGATTTAATGCTTCTTGCACAGATATTTTCTCCTCTTGCTTGCCTCCTTCTCTTTGCGCACAAACCGCGCTCTGCTCGAGTCTCAGATACATTCGCAAACCCGTAGGCTCTGCTTGCGGATTTTTTTTGCTCTCTCTCGGATTGCAGTTACATCATCGCCTAGCAACCTTTCCAGACAAGTAGCTAGAATCAGATCATGTGGAGAGTGCAGATGCTATCTTTATTAATGAATATGTTACAATGCATTTGCTATGAGCACGCTGTTGACAAAATAAACTAGATGGGTCATTTAAAGATTGCTGGATTCTGCCTTTCCAGAAAGACAGTGACAAAGAGGCAAGCTGGTCAATTGAAGAAATGTTCAACTAGATTGTAAAAAATAATTTATCTTTGTCTTCACAGGCTTTTTTCTCTTTGTCCTTCCTGGAGAAGTTGGATCTCAGCTGGAATCAGTTAATAACGCTCCCTGTGGACCTCTCCTCCAGCATGTCTGCTCTCAAGGAGCTGCGACTGGAACACAACAACTTACTTTATATATCAGGATTCAGGTACCTGTTTTGGTTTCAAATAAAAGCATGTTTCTTAACTTTCTCTTACCCATGTTGTGATCTGGTAAAGAAAAAAAAGTGGATTTAAACAAACAAAACTCATTGTTGATTTACATAGAATTTTGTCAGTGTTATGAAACTCCTATAGAATTGTAGGTTTTTGTTCTTCAACAAATCCAAATAATGAGATCTGAAAAGAGTGTAAAAAAAAAAAAGAAATTAAACGTGAGATTACTCATGGAAATCACGCTTGGGTGTGTTCTGATCTGATCTGGATCTACAAAGATGTATTGGGAATAAAACATACAATTAGTTGTAGAAGCAATTTTTCAGGCTTTTATGTCACTCCACAGGTTGTAGTGTGGGATTCACTTTGAGAACCGGGATATAAAACCAGATTGTTGTCAACAAGACAAACCAGCAGCAGTAAGAGAAAGCTAGGGATGTGTGGGAACAGAGCCTGCCACTCACCAATAACGAAGTCCAAATATCACAGTGGGAGAGCATCTTGTTGCTTTCATTTGATGCTGCCCCTTCAAGCAGTATATATGGCCAAAAGATGTGGGCAACATGTGATGCTGAGCAAATTTAGACTGGAAAATGCAGGTCTATCAAGGAAAACCACAGGATGTTGTTACTGAAAGGAATTAAGGGAAATATATGGTTCTACAATTAATATTAGGACTCAGAGGACTTAATATATGATCATTCCTTTACTTCTTTCTGTCTTGGTGAGGAGCTGCTCCCCAAGATTTTCTGCATGGAGGCGATGATCAGAAGAAATAAGCCCAACCTGCATCATGCTTTGCTTCATACCGAACAGTAGTGATGGAACGTAACAAAGTACATTTACTTGATTACAGTACTTAAGTACTTTTTTGAGTATCTTACTTTACTTGAGTCACGTTTTTGGAGATACTTATAACTTTCACTCCACTACATTTTAAAGTCAAATATTGTACTTCCTACTCCACTCAATTTCTAATAAGATGCTAAAGTTCCTTGTTCCTTTTGGCTCAGCTTAGCTTTATATTCCGCCGTTGTTGTTTTTCTTTCTTGAAAGAGCAGCCCTTAGGACTGAATCTGGACACCACTGTTTAAGAGATTTGCATGAAATTCCACACATGTAAAACTCAAATAAAAAGTTTTTTGTACTTAATAGTTTTATTTACGCATTAGTTGTTCCCATGTGACCAAGTAATCAACTAATCTGAAATCAGAGTTGTAGTTTCTTTGTGGTAATAGATGCAACCTTAAACCTCTATTCCATAGTGAAAGCATGAGGAGAATCAAGACACTCCTGTTTTCTTTTTGGATTGTTTTTGAATAATAAATCAGTCGCTGTTCTTATTTATTTGTGGCATTTTCATGCTATTAAGTTCTTTATTGATGGTTTAGAATTTGTAGCAGGTTTTTATAAGAATCAATACATCAGGTGGTTTCTAAAAGTTACAAGGTTCTTTAATATTACTCTGAAAATTATACAGAAAAGTAGATATTAGAAAATTTTAATCTGTACTTTTGAATACTTTAAAAGTGGGTACTTCAATACTTAAACTTGAGTAGGTGTTTGACAGAGTAACTTTTACTTGTAGTTGACTAAGATTGGACAATGAGTATCAATACTCATAATAATAATAATATAGTACTTAAGTGCTATAGTTAAGTACTTTGTCCACTACTGCCAGACAGTGTAAACTTTAGTTACTACTTTTTCTCTTTAGATAAGTTCTCAGTCATCCAGGTCATAGTCATTCCAAAAAAATTAAAAACAATCCACTGGACTTGGTTTCCGAGTTTGAAGACTTTCCGCTTTTTATTTTTCAATTCAAATGTCAGGAATAGGTTTTATGCAGTAGCCCAACAAAAGCCGGTTTTGAAAACTTGCTAATTGGAACAGACGAAGGGGTCCACCATTTGGAATGGGGATCTTTTAGCTTCACTTATTAGACTGCACTACCCCATATCCATCTAGGTGTCTGAAAGGTCGGTCGTTAAAGGGTATCGTCGGACTGGCTGAATAGGCGAGGTCCTCCACTTTCCTGTGCAGGAGGTGGGGTTGCAATGAAAAAGGGAAAGGATTAACTCAATTGCTGCATGGTACGTTTTTGAAAGCTGGAAACTGAGTACTGTTTTTTTTCCTTGCACACATTAATTACTCAACTCCATAAATGACTCAAGGTCAGTGTGTAACCTTGAAAATGTTAAACCGTAAAGGTGGAAATAAAAACAAAGTAACGGTGCCTGTCTCAGTCTGTCTAAGTGTGCATAGTTCACAGGAAGGACAGAAATAATTTTTTATATCTTTTAAATATACTTTATATCAACAACAGTGTTCTTCTTACATTTAGATTTCCTGTTCCAGTATTCAGTAATACCCTGAACACCGATCTTCCACCAAGAACAGCAATGGTGGCAGCATTATGCTCTGGAAATGTTTTTCTCCTGTAGAGAGCCATGTGGTCAGTTCTAACCAAATACAGGAGAAACCGTAGAAAACAACCTCTTTCAAATCCAGTTTGAAGAATGTATTAAGATGTGCAATTCTGCCACATAGATGGCTAAGGGCTCTTCAAGGTGATCTGAAACATGGCTGTATTAAAAATAATCTCTGGGAGGGCGAAACACAAATGCAGACCACATTTTTTTTAATTAGGTTTCCTTGAGTTGGTTTGTCAGATAAACAATATATATATAAAAAATAAAACAAAAATTTGTGTTTGCAATGTATCAAGGTGTAAAAAAAATTTTTGGTTTTCAAAGAAGCTCCTAAGTTCTCATATCAAAGTCAATTATACATTTTACTGAACAAAATGTTGGTATTTTGGGGTAAAAAAAAAAAAAAAGGTAAAGAATTATTGTTTTGTCTGAATTAAAATGAACTCTTTCTGTGCTCAAAGCTTGGAGTATTGGGACAACATGGAGAAGCTGGACCTCAGTCATAACCGATTGGTATCTGTTGGCCCTGGTGTGTTTAGGGGCCTCTCTAGGCTGAGACAGCTCTATCTGCACAACAACAGATTGACTGTGGTGGAGCAGGGTAGTCTGGATATGCTGCCTGGACTTGAGGTAAATACTCCAATGTTGTTTGTATTTATTAAGGTGTTTTGTTGGAATTCAATACTGAGCATAAAATAATTCTATAGAACCACTATTTAGTAACTGTATATATAATTATATAATACAATGTATCTTAAGACGAAAAAATTGTGGTATTGATTAACAGTGTGACATGGAAATAGACAAGGATTAATAGGTCGGCCTTTTTTGGAATGATTTTGAAAACAAGTGCTTGTATGAAATGTATCCATTTTTGTCGGTTTAGGTGCTCCAGCTGAGTAACAACAACATTTCCCAGATAGATACTGATGCCCTGGCTCCCCTCCATAGTCTGGCGGTTCTCAATCTGGAGGGAAACAACTTACATCACCTGAAGTTTAAGACCTTCATCAGTCTTCATACAACAGCAACACACATTCAGCTTTCAGGTTAACTGAAACATTTTTGATTGGTTCTTCTTTGGCCATTATTTCTAAACCTGACTTTAAATGATGCAACCAAATAAAAGAGCCCAGCCCCTAGTAGATGGGTTATGAGTGTCATAGGGATATTAAAGTGACACTTTTTAAAATAACTTATAAAAGCTTATCCATCTGTCTGTCCATCCTTCTTCTCCTGATTATTACATCAGAGTCATGGTGGGGCTGGTGCCTATCTCCAGCAGTCTATGGGGGAGGGGCGGGGTACACCCTGGACAGGTCACCAGTCTGTTGCAGGGAAACACAGAGACATATAAAGACAAACAACTATTCACACACACACTAACACCTTAGGATAATTTTGAAAAGACAATGAACCTAACAGTCATATTTTTGGACTGTGGAAGGAAGCTGGAGTACCCGGAGAGAACCCACGCTTGCTCAGGGAAAACATGCAAACTCCATGGCTGGGAACTGAACCTGGAGCCTTCTTGCTGGAATGAAACAGAGCTACATACTGAGCCAATGTGCAGCTAATAAAGGGTTATTTTACAGCTAATATCTCACTTACTGCAGCTGAACCTGGGTATCTTACTGTAGCATAGAACTAGTCCTTGAAAAATCACAAAGTCATAGTATTTAACTAGGTTCTTTTAAGGTGTTTCCTTTAGGTTTCATCTAATATCTCATCTAATCTAGATCTAAGCAGTTAGTGCCTACTGGTATGATACCAATTTAAGGCGATCAGATTCCTGAGACAAAATCTGGAGACATTTCCTGCTCGGTGATAAAAATACTTAAATGTTATAAATCTGAACTTTAGTAATAGAATCAGATAAGATTTCTTTCTTTACACATTTTACATATTTAAACATGCAAGTGTAGCAGCAGGGAATATGTTAGCATTTTTTGATAACATAACAAAAAATTTATATACTTTTTCTCTATTACTGCAAGTAGTAATGGGTTATTCAATGTAAAGTAAATCCTTTATGCATTCAGACCTGACAACCCCCCAGGTTTTTGTTAATTAGCCTCTTATGTCTCCTAAATAAGCTTAGTTGACATGACAGTTTAAATCAAATTGCCAATTCTTTAAATTCTATTTAACATTAATAGCTAACGCCTATTTAGAGCACAACATAGACAAAAAAACATCCCTAAAGGATCTGCATACATCACCCACAACCTACATATAGATTCTGTCTCACAATCATTCAAAGGATTCAACAGTATCTTCATTTGCGGTCTGCATTTGACCTTTGATGGCCGCTTTTAAACTTAACTTTGAAGCTGATGGCATGAACTGCTGCTGGTGAAGAGTAAGAACGATACATGCTTTAATCTCTGAAATTCCTAGTTTTCAAAAGCAAGAAGTTACATGATCTGTCCCTAGTCTCTTTTTATTAAATTGTAGTTGCACCAAAGGTCTGAATGGCGACATGAGCATACAGCTGTAAAAAGAAATTTCAAAGAAAATTGTTAATTCTAATTCTTGACCAGTGGTGTCAAAAGTACACACATTTGTTACTTAAGTACAAGAATAAATACTGCAGTTTAAAAACACCCTGGTAAAAGTTGAAATATCAACTTGACCTCTATACTCAAGTAAAGGTGAAAAAGTATGTGCTACAAAAACTACTTAAAGTATAAAACTATAAAGTAAACTTTTAAAAAACAGCCACTATAGTATATGAAAGGTCAATTTTACGACTATTTTGAAAATTCCTTTGAGATAGGGCCAAGGATGAGGGAGGTCTTGTTGGGCTCTGTCTCCATCTCCCGATACGCTCTCGCCTGTGTCCGACCTTTCAACATCTTTTAAAAAAATAGAAACTTTTTAAAAATGTAAAGTGTTTTCTGAAGTAGAGAACAACAATCTTTTAGTTTGGTATATAGACAATTTCCTGATTCATATATTTTTTAAAACACCTGAACCGATTGTTTTTTTTTTTTGTTTGTTTGTTTTTGTCTGGCTCAATGAGAGCAGTGGGCTTTAGGCTGCCCTGCAAGGCTTTAAACCTGGATTTGAATAAAGACAAAGCCTTTCTCAAGAACATATCAAGGTGCTCATTTTGAGCCTGGATCCATATTTATTTTTGATTTTGTTCATGGTGGAGAATCATGCTTCACAGCAGCAGGTTGAGCCAAACATTCTCTAAATGTTCAGGCTCCGCTCCGTTCCGGCCAGGTCAAAAAGGCTATTGCAATTGTAACACTTACAATGAGTTTACATTTGATATAACAGATAATAAGACCAGTGCTAGGTTCGGCTATGAAAGTAGAGAAATATGTAAGTGTATTAATGACCACAGACCAGAAAATATAATTAAACTGCCGTCTTATTATTTGAAAAGAGCAATATTACAAACAATAGACATACAATGACACAAAATTCAATCCACAATAGTTTCCCTATTTCTTTCAGAATGATCGGTTTGACCCCTGTTTCACATCTACACCTAATTTTAGGTATTAAAGGATACTATTTATTTAAACCTAGGTTAAAGTTATATTTAAGTTCAAGAATGATACTATTAACTATTTCATTTATAGTTTGTACGAATGAATCTCTTTTTAAAATCAATTTCAGTTATGTAGAGTTCTTTTTAGGAAGTTAAGGGTTTAATTTTAACTAGTTCTTGTTTCTATTATAACCCAACAGACAATTTACATTCCACACACTTACAATGATACTGAAAATGCTTCAGAAAGAAAATCAATAAAACACAACAGAAACAATCCAGCAAAAGATTGGATAACTTGTGCTTCAATCAATGTCCTTTCCCTCTGTTGATCCTGAAGGGTTAACCCTGGTTTTCTGAATCCACTGCTTTTTTAGCAGGAAAAAAATGGGCAGGTCATACCAGTTTGGATGATTTGAAATGTCCAGCAGAGGGCGTATCTCCTGCTAGACGGCAGTTACAGGGCTCCTGGGTTCTACTTTTCCGTTCCAGTCTCCAGCAGAAACTTAAAGGCCTGGTTTTATAACCAATAAAGCTTAACAAAATTTCTTTTTAACTTTGCTTTCTACTGAATAAAGTAACATATACACTCACTGGCCACTTTATTAGGTACCCCATGCTAGTAACGGGTTGGACCCCCTTTTGCCTTCAGAACTGCCTCAATTCTTCGTGGCATAGATTCAACAAGGTGCTGGAAGCATTCCTCAGGGAGTTTGGTCCATATTGACATGATGGCATCACACAGATTTGTCGGCTGCACATCCATGATGCGAATCTCCCGTTCCACCACATCCCAAAGACGCTCTATTGGATTGAGATCTGGTGACTGTGGAGGCCATTTGAGTACAGTGAACTCATTGTCATGTTCAAGAAACCAGTCTGAGATGATTCCAGCTTTATGACATGGCGCATTATCCTGCTGAAAGTAGCCATCAGAAGTGGGTACATTGTGGTCATAAAGCAATGGACATGGTCAGCAACAATACTCAGGTAGGCTGTGGCGTTGCAACAATGCTCAATTGGTACCAAGGGGCCCAAAGAGTACCATGAAAATATTCCCCACACCATGACACCACCACCACCAGCAGCCTGAACCGTTGATACAAGGGAGGATGGATCCATGCTTTCATGTTGTAGACGCCAAATTCTGACCCTACCATCCGAATGTCGCAGCAGAAATCGGGACTCATCAGACCAGGCAACGTTTTTCCAATCTTCTATTGTCCAATTTCGATGAGCTTGTACAAATTGTAGCCTCAGTTTCCTGTTCTTAGCTGAAAGTAGTGGCACCCGGTGTGGTCTTCTGCTGCTGTAGCCCATCTGCCTCAAAGTTCGACGTACTGTGCGCTCAGAGATGCTTTTCTGCCCACCTTGGTTATAACGGGTGGTTATTTGAGTCACTGTTGCCCTTCTATCAGCTCCAACCAGTCTGGCCATTCTCCTCTGACCTCTGGCATCAACAAGGCATTTCTGCCCACAGAACTGCCGCTCACTGGATGTTTTTTCTTTTTGGGACCATTCTCTGTAAACCCTAGAGATGGTTGTGCGTGAAAATCCCAGTAGATCAGCAGTTTCTGAAATACTCAGACCAGCCCTTCTGGCACCAACAATCATGCCACGTTCAAAGTCACTCAAATCACCTTTCTTCCCCATACTGATGCTCGGTTTGCACTGCAGGAGATTGTCTTGACCATGTCTACATGCCTAAATGCACTGAGTTGCCGCCATGTGATTGGTTGCTTAAAAATTAAGTGTTAACGAGCAGTTGGACAGGTGTACCTAATAAAGTGGCCGGTGAGAGTACGTCAGTTTGGCTTCTGAACATTGTGTGTTTTGGGGAAAAATGCTTCACCCACACCAGTCCATTTGTTAATATCAAGGTTTTTGTTTTTGTTTTGTGTCTTTAACATAAAACAACATAAATGGACTACTTCAGCTTCAAATTTCAATGAAATCAAATCTCTTTTGTAGTTTCAAACAAAATAAAATATCATAAAATGAAATACACCATTTATAATATCTGTAATTATTATTATTAATATTTTTTAACTATTTTGAGACCTATTTATTTCCTATTTATTTATTTCTTATTTGAGCATTTTATAGCTATTTTTATGAAAAGGTTTATGTTTAGTGAGGGCTATGTTTACCTGGGTTACACAATCACACCAAACAGGAAAAAGAACGGCGGGAAGATCCAGTTTGTCAAATTAAAATATAGTAACAGAAGATCGGTTACTACAAATTAGAGCATAATATTTATATATTTCAAAAAACTAACACCGTTTATTTAAAAGATTGGATGCAAACTATTGGTACTTCAACAGACCAGGAAGCAGATTTTTCATATCCATCAGAAACCGCACATGCTGATGCTGATGGGATTTTTTAAATATGTTACTAAATTAAGCGTTAATTTCTGCATGTTTTGCTCCAACGAATTCAACGATAATATCGCACATGCTCTCCTTGAGCTCCGAGGATAAGTCGGAGCACAGCAATACTGGAAGAACAGCGTAGGCTGTAGGCTTTGCTTAGTTCTGGAGCGCTGCTATGACGGAGGATGTGGGATTTCGGGGTAACAGGAGACGTGGCGCAAGTGACTTTAGACACTGTCGTCAGACAACATGTGGTAATTTAGAAATGTTTTAAATCGGGTTGGGTCCAGATCTGGACTGCGGGCCGCTAATGCGTGATCTCTGCATCAAACCAAAGCCAAAAGTCATAAGTAACGTTTGTTTTAAAAATGTAAGGAATAGAAAGTACAGATACTTTTGTGAAAATGTAATGGGTAGAAGTCAGAAGTAGGAAGAAAAAGAACTAATGGAGCAAAGTATAGATACCTAAAAAGTGTACTTAAGTACAGTAACAAAGTATTTGTACTATTTGATTCTTGATACCTCTGTTCCTGACCAATGTTAAGGTATAATTTCATTGAGGCTGATATTGGGCAAAAGAGAACAAAGACAGGAATGAAATATTAAAAGACTACTGCAACAGTATATATTTTTAGTCTTTGTGACTTTTAGCCTTAATGTCACGAAAAAATTTAGAGAGTTATATATATCTTCCTATAATAACGCCAAAATAGTTAGTAAAATAGTATAATTAATAGAGCTTAAACTGAAATTCTAAGTTAATCTGTTGTGGAATATAAAATCTTTGCCAACTATGAACTTCAAAATAAGGCTTAAGTATAAATTAAATCTGGAAGACTCTTGTAAGCTTCACCTATACCACCTGAAATGTTACTTGTTCAGCCCCACCAAACAAATTGAGACCACACCTCCTCTGAAGTCAATCACCTTGCAAGATCCCCTTCATTTAGCTCCTGGCCCAGCTTCTCTCTTCCACATGGAAGCAAACTTTCACCCACCTCTTCCCTCATTTTCAGTCCCACTCACCCTCTGGCTTATTCCACCATCAGTGTCCGTGCCCCGGGGGTTAAAACTACTCTTATCGTTTTGTAGGTTGCTCATCGAAGCAAATGTCTTCTGCCGGGGCCCAAGGGCCAAAGAAATTGTTTCATTTATATCTTCATCTGCTTCTATCTCCTTGAACGCCAGTCGGCCCAAGTAGATGGCTGCTCACACTGAGCCTGGTTCTCCTGGAGGTTTCTTTCTGTTAAAAGGGAGTTTTCCTCACCACTGTTGCTACATGCATGCTTAGTGTGAGGTATTGCAGAGAGTTCATGAATCAATGCAATTAACTGATTTTACTTAGACAGAAATATGTTGAAGAATATGATTTTGTTACCTGTATAAATAAATTGAACATTTTCTAGTTGAAGCTTTTCTCTGTGTGAGTCTCTCAAGGTGGAAATGGGCCTCAAACTCTATTTTCAATTTAAAAGAAATACAATACAAATAAAAGCAGAGTGAAAACATGTTTCTCTGTTACTTTTTTACCTTTGTAGGCAACCCATGGAGCTGTGACTGTGAGCTGCATCGTGTCTTCAGTAAGATCTTACACGTGCGTCACCTTCATATTGACGACTACCGAAATGTGACCTGCCAAGACCCTCCGCAGCTCACGGGGGCTTCGCTAGCCTGGGTGGACAGCCAACTCTGTTTTGCAGAGACTGCTACTGTCCTTGTTATCACTGTCACTGTGCTGGTGACTGTGATGGCAGCTGTCGTCATGGCAGAGAGAAACAGGAAGAAAAATCGTGGCAAGAATTGGGATACTGATTCACATAGTTCCCCATCTTAGAAAACTGATTTATCGCGGAATTCCAGTTTGATCCCATTGAACTTTAGTTCCTCAAACTACATCTGCAGTTGTCAGTAACTCACTGAAATTGCTTTAGAAAAAGGTAGCAATAACAAATGCTGCCTTTCAAAAACCAATATTTCTTTTTTGTTATTATGAGACCAAAATACAAGTTTGAAGAGACATGCAACTTAGAAAGCAAATACAGGACACAGAAAAACATCAAAACACTAATGAAAAAGAGCATGATTAGAGGGCCCCATTAAAACCATAAAACAGGAGAAGGAAATGAATATATCACATATTATGCACCTTTTAATTTTGTAGAGGGAAAATAACAAATATCTGTGAAAGACATAGACATCACTGAAAAAAAATATGTTCATATAAATGAATAACTTAGTAATTACATAAACTGTAGCTCGGGCATTTATTTGTTTAAAATAAAACTAAATATAATATTTTTATTTAAAAGGAAGAATGAGGATGATTACTTTTATTAGTATTGGATTAACATATTTATTTTTTTACTGAATTTTGGCAAAGTTTTATAAGTAGAACGTAGATTAACCAAATATTTCAAACTTCAGAGCAAAAAAAAAACCGTTGAATTTTATAATTTGCTATTAGCATTTTTTCCACGTATACCTAATAAATGCTTTGTGTTTACTTTGAAACAAACATATGAAGGATAGTGGAAAATCATGGAGTGACTGGTCAACTTAAGGCTGATGTAACAGGATTTCCAGTGCTACCAGTCAGTTCTCTTAGCTAGCTTATCAGCTTGTCTGTGGAGCTCTGCCACTCCAGAAACTCCAAAATGCACATTTCAGTGAAAGGTTTCAGGAAAATCTTGATGACTAGGCTGAAGAAATGACCACTGACAGAAGTTAGAGAAGTTGAATCAGACAACCGGCTGAGACAATTGCCAGAGTTGCCTGACCACACAAAGCTCAATCCTGCTGCAAACACTGAAAGCAGATTTAAATGTGTGCTAACTCATGATAAACTGACTGCACCGATGAAGTTTTAAGTAAAGCTGGACGATATGGCTTAAAAATCTAATCTCCAGTTTCTTCCAACCAAAAATCTTTTTATCTAGTTCATATTTAAGTTTCAGAATAAAAATTATAAATGATGTATCTTCCTTTAAAAATTAGGAAATTTGATTTCAATCTGTGAAATATGCTTGTAACATAAACTTGATTCACAAAAAACAATTAAAATACAACAAACTAAATGTTTGCAGATAGTCTTATCACACAGAGAACTATTTCAACAGTTATAGCACATCTAAGAACAAAGAGTGTTGAACCGATATATGGAAGGCCAAGCAGAGTAGTGGTGATTAAAAATCTTGATTTTCCATCAATTAAATCATCACAAGTAAACAATTAAATTTAATTATTTTTATCAATGATTTGCCCAGCCTTAGTTCTGAGTTCTATTTTCTTGACTTAATGACAAATTAAAGGGCTAAATAACTCCACTTGTACACTCACCTTCACAAGTTACTGCCACTGCTTGCAGCACAAACCACTGCAGGATATCTTGCTGAGTCCAGCACAGCCTTTTTAGCAGTCTCAGGGAAAGTTTAAAGGTTCTGCCTCTGACATTACTCTAAAAGTGAATTTGCCTGAGAAAAGGTGAATCCTCCTAATCATTATTGGGGTTTGTATTTCTTGTTGATTTATATATCACTATTCATTCATCCATCCATCTTCTCTCGTTTATTATGTCCGGAACATGGCGGGGCTGGTGCCTATCTACAGCAGACTATGGGTCACCTTGGACAGCTCACCATTTAACCTAACAGTCATGTTTTAGGACTGTGACATTAAGCTGGAGTACCTGGAGAGAACCCACACATGCACAAAGCATGCAACAGTAAAATGGTTTCCTGTGGAATTGCACAGATTGCATTACTCTTAGCCAAAATGTAAAAAGAGAAACTCTGAAATATTCAAATATATTCTTGTCCTGGAAACAGTGTTTTTTGTTGTTGTTGCAAATTATTCTTTAGGAAATACTTCTCACTTTTTAGCTGTATAAAACCTATTTTGTAACCATTTATAATATCTGTTTTAAGCTTTTCCACAACTGTAGAACTGTCTGCTATACTTCTTGGTCGACAGGCTTTTGGTCCACTAGTGTCCTCTGAGGCCTTCACAGAGTAACTGTATTTACACTTTGATTGCTGTAAAAACTATTTTAACTCTATAGATAACAGGTATATAGTATATGAACTCTAAATACATTATACTATTACACATTCAACATTCCTATTTACAAAAAATATATAATTTTCTGGTTTGATCTGTCATGTCAAGTTTCTATGAAATAAATTGTGATTTCAGTGTGACTAAGGTTAAAATGTTTGCAAACATTTTCACAAGAATATCTTCAAATTATATTGTCTTTTTGCAAACAGTTAGCTCAGAAATGGAATATGGAGCAATTCAACATGAACAGGCATGTTGCTGTACCATCTAATCATCAGGCCCTTCATTAGAATTCATGCAATTAAAACTTTATTTCAATTCAATTAAGTTTATTTATATAGCACAAATTCACAACATTTTTCATCTCATGTTGTTTAATACACTTAGCAAATCATGCTAAATATGATATGATATTAGAATGAAAATCATTCTAATATCATCTGCATAACATGTTAGATATTGTTGAATTATGTGGTAAAGGTTTTTTTTCCATCCATTTAAATCTACTGGTATAAAAGCAGTCAGTAGAACACTTTCCATTTATTTAATCTGTTATTTTGCTCACCAGGGTTGAATTGTTGAATCTATCCGATCTGCTTTTTATTTCTTATGCATCACTAGCACTAATTCTGCCACTCATATTGTTAATTTAGCAAGATTGTTGCAATTGAAGTTTATGGTTGATGATGAGAGCTCTCATTATAAACCATTAAGCAGGATTTTACACATTTAAAAGAGACATGCACTGGATGTATGCAAAGAGGAATCACTTTGTACAGCACAGAAGGAGGTTTAATGACATCACAGAAAGAGGGTTATATGATCTCTATGTCCTTGTTTTAAAAATGAACCGAACAGACAGGGAGAATTAGGATTAGAGTGAGATTATCTTACTTAGAGTGACTGAAGTTAAACTCAAGCAGAGTGAAAAAAACAGGAATTATCATCTTTATGGATAACATTTATAGGGAAAAGATTACTTTTTGTTACTTTACCTTGAATCTATTTTTAGCAACATCTTGGTTTTCCTGACAAGATTAAAAGAAGGCCAAATAAAAATGATGGATGACAGGCATTAAAAACTTCCACAGTGATCATGCCAGTGGTTCTGCTTTGTTGCAAACTGGCATGCACCAGAGGGTTCATAGACTTTTAGACATAGAATCTTGGTTTGTTCAATATTCCACTCTCTATAACTTCCATTTAGTGCAAAATATTTTCTGTCATACATGTACTCCTTTCATTTAAGAATGATGCTGTTATGTGTTGCCTTCAAATGAGCTGGGAGAACAGACCCGCCCCATATTTAATGTATCATCCACAAACCTCTTGGCTTTGTAAACAGTGAATCTAGAAATAGATCTGTAATGGAATAAAGGTAGATCAGCCCAAGGCCTTCAATGGACTTCATTACCAAAAAGATGAGGGAGACAGCTCTAAAGTACTTATTTAATACTGCTTTTGTTCTTAACATTTAATAATATAAAAATTCTGTTTTGGTACACATTGTGGTATGTAAATACAGTTTTATATATTTAGATTTATTCATAGTTATATTTTGTATGTATTTGTTCTGTGCAAATTGAAGCCAATCTATGTTTTAAGATTCAGAGATAGTCAGTCTACGACTTCAGCACACAGCTCATTAAAATTGGTTTAAACCACAGCACCAGTACGCTGGAAAATTTTGGCAGGTTGGCCCAATCCTTGTATAAGTTTTGTCTTTATATGTATGTGCAATAGCATTTTTCTGTGTGGATATTTTGGGAATAGCTTAGTTAAATAGATGTTATAACTGACCAGGAGAAAGTGGACTTTGTCTGCTAAACAGAGAAGCCTTAATCTGTGTTTCAGTGCTGTGTAGCTTTCAGTTGAAAGATGAATGCCATTAGGGTAAAAATCCGTTTGCACATTACCTGCATAATGAATGACATTATTTGTTATTGTATTTATTTAGATTTTGGTTACTCTTTGTTTCAGATTCTTTGTTTTTTTATCATTGTCTCTG